ATAAAGAATTAATAGATATAATATTTTTAGCTTTATAAATAAAACCTAAAATATTTAGGCTATTATTAGTATTTTACTTATTATATTAGATAAAAGTCTAATTATTATTATTAAATTCTCTAAGCTAATTAATCTTATTTTTCCTAAGTAAATTTATTATATAAGATTTAATAAATTATATATAAATATTTACTAAAATTAAAGTAATTAAGAAAAAATAGACCTAATATCTAATATACTTTTTCTTATATCTTATAATTAGTTTAGTATTATTTTAGGTTTTATTTTCTTATAAATATATATATATTTAGAATTTAGAATTAATACTTTAAAATAATATTCTTTAATTAGTTTTTATATAATTTAAAAATTAAATTACTAAATTTAATACTTTTATAATACTCAAATTTATTTAAGTTTATAAAGTTTTATAATTATTAGGGCTTTTATAATTCTTTATTTTTTAAGTTTAATATCTAAATTATATTATATACTTTATTTTTAATATAAAAAAGGCTTCTAAAAGTCTAGAATTATAAAGAGATTTTTATATTAAGAATATATTAAAAATATATTATATTATAATAATAAAATTATAAATATTTATATATAAATATATAATATATTAGACTAGTTATATTAAAAATTATATTATATCTATATATAAAATTACTAATTACTTTATATTAATACCGGATTTATATAATTATATAACTTTATATAATTAGCTAGCTATAAAAAAGCCTTAAAGCCCGAAACTTATAAAGAATCTTAAGAGCTTTAGGGCTTTTAAACTATTATTAATATCTAATATTTTTTAGGAAAAAAGTATAATATATTCTATAATAAGTAATTTATTATAGATTATTTAATTTTTAAGTTAAATAGAAAATCTAAAGGCTAGATTTATAATTCAAGTCTTATTAAGATTATTAAAGTCTTTACTAGCTAGTATTATAAATTTAATAAAAATATTATAGAAATCCTATAGGTTTTATTCTAATTTATTTAGAAAATATATATAGTATATTTTCTGATTTATTCTAATATTTATATATAATTTCTAAAAGCCAAATTATTATCTAAAAAAGAAATAAAAAAACTAAACTAATATTTTTAAAAACTAAGGCCTTAATAAGTTTATTTAGAAAAGTTTACTAATTTTTCTAAAAATAACTTAAGAAAAGTTTAAGTTTATTATATATTATAACTTATATAACTAGAAATAGAAACTATTTTAATAGGCTAGAAAAAGTCTCTTATATAACTTATTTATATAACTAGAAATAGGAACTTGAGTTTATTATATAAAATTACTTATATATAAAAACTTCTATTATAAATTCCTTATTTAGATTAATTAATTAAATCTATTTTTAATACTAAATCTTTATTAAAATAATTTCCTATTTCTAAAAACTTTAAATAAAATAACTAATAAGTTTTTTTAATTATTAACTAAAACTTATTAGCTAGAAAATCTATAAATAATAAATAAGATTATAAAATAGAATTTTTCTAATTATAATATTAAAATATTTTATTATAATATAAAGTAATTAGATATAAAAGTTCTATTAAATATAATATATCTTAAATTATAAATTTATAAAATAAATATAAGAAATCTTAATATTTAACTAATACTATAGTTTAGCCTAAAAATATTTATTATTCTTTATATTTAATTTAATAAAAATAAGAAATACTTATATTTTAACTTAAGAAATAATTAGAACTTTTATATAGATTTAAAATAGTAATTTATTTTATAGAAAGAAAATAGACTAGAAATATTTATATTATATTAATTTTTAAAAAAAGTTATAGTAAATATTATAATTTTTAGAAAACTTTTAAAAAAATTTCTTTAAATTAAAATAAACTAGTTTATAATTCTAAAAAATCTATAGAAATTTTATATATCTAAAAATATAAATATTTAAAATAAATATTATTTAAAATCTAATTTATAATAAAAGAAAAATAAAATATATAAAATAAAATATATAAAATAAAATATATAAAATAAAATATATAAAATAAAAATAAAATAAAATATTTAGATATTTAATAAATAAAAAGCCTAATTATAAATTATAAAAACTAGTATTAACTAGATATATATATAATAATATTAAAAAAAAAATAATAAAAAAAAACTAAAAAATAAATTAATATATATTTTATAAAAATAAATAGAAAAATATCTAAATAACCTAAAAATAAGAAATATATATTAAAGAAATTAAGATTAGAAAAAGAAAAACTATTTTCTATAAAAATAAATTAGTATATATTTTAAAATAAAAAATAAAAATATTTAATAATAGCCTAAAGGCTTTTATAAATATTAAAAAAAAAAGAAATATTAAAGTTTAAAGAAATCTAAATAGAAATTAGCCTCTTTTTTAAAAGTTTAAAAGAGAATATTTTTAAAAGGCCTAAAAGTATAAAAAATATTAGAAAAGAAAAAAAAGTATTAAAGTTTAAAAAGAACTAAATAGAAATTAGTCTTTTTTTTAGAAGTTTAAGAAAAAATATTTCTAAAAAACCTAAAAATATAAAAGATATTAAAAAAGAAAAAAAAGAAATATTAGAAAAAAAAAAAAAATTCTAAAATTTAGCTTTCTAAGAAATAAATAAATTAAAAACTTATAATATAGAAGTTCTAAATAAAAATAATCCGGAAATAGTAATTAGATACTAGTTTTAGTATTATTAGTAAAAGTATTAAAAAAAAAGAAATTCGGAAAAGGGATTTAAAAAAAGAATTTAAAAGAAAAGTTTAGAGAAAAAGAGAAAAGAAAAAAAAAAGAAAAATTATAAAATAGTTAAATACTAGCTCTTAATATTAATAATAGAAGTATTAAAAGAAAAGGAATTTAGAAAAGGAATTTAGAAAAGGAATTTAAAGAAAAAGTTTAGAAAAGAGATTTAAAAAAGAAGTTTAGAAAAGAAATTCAGAAAAGAAAAAAAAGATTATAAAATAATTAGATACTAGCTCTTAGTATTAATAGAGATATTAATAAAGATATTAATAAAGATATTAATAAAGAAAATATTAGTAAAAAATAGAAACTTTTAGTATTAATAATAAAATTAAAAAAATATAAAAGAAAAATAAAAGTTTTAGAATAAAAATAAAATAAAATAATAGTTTTATAAAAAATAAAATTACTAATATAAGATAATTATATTATTATATAATTTTATATTTACTTTTATTATTTATTAAAAATATATATTTTTTAAAAAGAAATATTATTTAGAATTCTTAAGCCTTTTTAATTTAATAATTATATATTTAAAAAATAAGAAATAAATATAATTATATATATTAAAATAAAGAAATTCTTCTTATTTAAAAATTATAATTATAATATTACTAAATATAGAAATATAAAAGTTTATATAATAAGTTATATATAGAAATTTAAAGAAATTTAAATTATTTTAAATTATTTATAATTAGTAAAATAAATTAGCTAATTATATAAATTAAATATAGTTTAATTATTATTAATATATTTTAGCTTTTATAAGTTAGTAAAAAAAAGAATTTTTATATTTTTATTTTTATAACTATAATATTTAAAATTATAATTCTTTTAATATTTAAATATACTTAATCTAGGGCTATTAAATACTAATATTTTTATTTTTAAATATTATTTATTATAAATTTATTCGGATTTAAATAATTATATTAAATATATATTTTTATATTTTAAAAATAAATAATAAAAATATAACTATACTAGCTTTAATCTTAGCCTTAATCTTAATCTTAATTTTTTTCTAAAAATAATTTTAATTCTAATATATAATATTATTATTAAAGCTTTCTCTTATTAAAAATATATTAAATATAGCTTTAGATAATAATTCTAGTAAAGGCAAAAGTAATAAAAAAGATAATAAAGCTATAAATAAGTTAAAAAAAAATATTTATAATATATTTTCTAATAATTTAAATTTAGTCTATAATATTTTCTTTTATTAATATATTTAATTAATAAATTCTTTTATTTCTTAATTTCTTTCTTATATATAATTTTTTTCTTCTTTTTCTTTTTTTATAATAATACTTTAATCTTTTTATATTATCTAATAATATTACTAAAGTAATAAAATAAATTAATAATAAAACTAAAATTAAAGAAATAGAACTATACTAGAATAAAAAGCTAAAGAAATTAGAAAAAGATAAGGCAAATCTAGAAATAAGCTTAGTATATATTTATAGAACTAAATTCTTTTAAACTTATATTATTTATAATAATAAAAAAAGACTAAAAGATTCTTTTAAATATTATATAGTTATAAAAAGCAAATTTAATAATATTTATATAAATTATAGATATAATAATAATAATAAAGTCTATATTTTTTATTAACTTAATACTAATTCTATTAAAGCTAAAAAGCCTTATTTTATATTTATAAAATCCTTTATATTAAAGCCTTAATTATTTATAAAATATAGAAAATAAGTATAAAAATAGATATAAGATTAGAAGATAATAGGAAAAAAGATTATAGTAAAGGAAAATAAAAATACTAGAAAAGAAAAAGATAAAAGAGATATAAATAATTTAAGTAATATAAGTAATATAAAAGATATAAAAAGTAAGAGAAATAGAGATATATCTCATAATCTATAGGATTTGCCTTATAGACTATATAAGCTAAGGGGGGGCTAGAAGTAGTCGAGAATAAGGTATATATACTATACTTTTTTTTTTTTTAGTAAGATATAGGAGGGGGGACAGGGAGGATACGGGCACGAAAATCAAAAAATTAGAAAATCACTTTTCGCTTCTCGGTTTTGTCGACTAGCCCGCTAATGGCCTCAGTATCATGACTGTCAAGACCAAAGTATCAAAGCTGACTATACGAAGTCAACCTTCGATCTATATACCGAAGTGATGGGGAAATTTAGCCGAACCCAGCGCACCTTGAAGGGGCGGCGTAGTTCGACCGCATTTGATAGGTCAATGCGGGTTGTTTATTTCAGCCAGCTAGTTTCATCTATCCTGGGCCGTCCTGTCTACCCACGTTCGATTACTGGCACAAAAATCCTCTCTATCGCTGCGGTGGCGGGGGAAATTCTCGACCTGGGACCCACACATGTTGAAATATTGGACGACGCCAGGAAGCTAAAATTGTGGAAGTCCGCATATCAAACCCACTACACCTATCCTACAACGCAAGAGAAAGTACGAGAGGCTATTGCCGCATACGATTATTTCCTCTATCGGAACTCACACCGAATTGCAACCCAGGTTTTCTCTATAGACCCGGGCAGGACGTATTCGCGAGCGAGGGAGCACGTGGAGCAGAGGCCATCAACGCCTGTCACGCCACGGAGACCGTCGACCGTTGATACATTCCAAAGGAGTTCTCCTGACTTAAAATCAGTGCCGGAGTTCAGTTGGGATAGCAATGAGGCACACTGGCTTTCGGAAAATTTGGGCGACCTCGCTGGAGTCTACAGGCGTTCTGGTCTGCAGCCCCCTTCTCGTCGTGCTCCCTCGAGATCAAGGAATATTGCTAGAACAACCGACAACTCTCGAGAAAGCGACTTGCCGCCAGACAGACCAAACGCGGTTAGGAATCGTTCCCGTTCTCGTCGGTCCCTTTTTGAAATTTTATTCTCTTCTAGCCCCGCACGCTCAACGGCTCCGGCACCCAAACTTCCTTCCGAGAATTCGTCAAGCCCACGTTTGTTCCTTGGGACCAACAAACTTGTAGGGTCTGTTCCAGCAAATGCGAAGAAAGGAGATATAATCTGTCAATTCTGGAATACAGATGTGACAGCATTGTTAAGGAGGCGACCAGACGCTTCATATTTCGAAGTCGTTGGGAAAGTTTATCTTTCGACGGGCTACATGGACGGTTTGCAAGCAAAGCTCAGAGAGAGGATGGTGCCTAAGGACGGAACTAAAGCCGTTCTCATCGAGATGGATCTCAAGACCTTGAGTAGGCTGACTTCTTAGACACTGTGGGTCCAATTTCATTTTCCAAAGATTGCAAACACTCGCCACTATGATTTTCAGATACTTTCCTGTCCTCTTCATTTCGCTGGAACTCAAACGTTCGAACTACATCATGATTAGCGATTAGCAATTAACGATTAACGATTAACGACTCACGACTCAAATGTAAAGGGGCTTAGTTTGTACGTACATCAATGTTGTTTCGCAGTCCAGCAGAACCTCTCAAATTAACCCTAGTGCGCCTACCGTGAGCTTTCATCCCACCCGTCCAATCATATATCATGTTCTATAGCCTATTAAATTTAGTGGCGCTTCTTTTCATGGCTTCAAGGACGCCGTCATCCCGTTTTCTCCCCTGGCTCGGCAGAAGTACCGGCTGGATGACTTGCTGATTTACAGCCAGAATCAGCCAAGTGGCGCATGGAAGAGGCCTACTGGCCGAGATTAGGTTCGTTTCTTCTCTTGGCTTAACCTTGTGACTTGCCATTTTATTCTGCCTTCTACGCTGTGCGATTCTTGGGCATCAATCGCTTGGCTGCTCATCAGCGGCCAATTCTTTTATGCAAGTGCCAGAAGAGTCACTGAGCGGGTTCATAACAGGAAAGAAGGCAACGCAAGCTCTCGACTTCGTTTTTCTTATACATAGCTATCATCATACTCACACCTGGCATCGGTCTCCGCACAATGGTCTCGAAAATGGTTATTTGGGCTCTCGCCTTGTAGTTGGCCACGATGTTTACCCGCCTTTTCTTCAGCGTGGTTTTGCAAGGTGCGCTGACAATCTTACTTCTTGGGAATTGAGACGATTAGATTTAACCTCCAGTGGCGGGATTAACGGGCAAAAATTGGGAGAGTTGCGAAATGCTGGATGTCCATTCATTGTTCAAGGCCAGGTGTGTCACGTGAGGTGTTTCCCCTTGGGTATCAAACTCCGCCCTCGGGGAACTCCGTTAGCCTTCCTTTCGGTTTGCACATGCTCTGCAATATCACAGACTCTCTCTGCCCTCAAATCTGCCCCTTCATGCTCTGTGCTTGGTTTTGTTGTTTCATACTGCTCTCTCGCAAGATGCAGCCAAAAGCGGTTTAGTGTCGCGGCCTGCAGATTTCCCCCTGTCATGCCACATCCCACCAACACCAAAACCGTGATCCATGATTATTTTGAGTGCAAGAACTCAATAGGGATGAAGTCACGCATGCTGTTCTCGAATAGGAATTTGAGGGAGTTTGAGACTGCGGACGCCCAAGGCTGGTGCATTTCTCCGCGAGGTTTGTCTTGACGGAGGAATAAGGGGCCGTCGCTTATTTCGAGGGGTTTTTGCACACAAGCATTGGGATGAGGCTTGATGAATATTATCATACATTTCTGGCCTTTTCGGTTTGGCATGCTTTCCTCAGTGAAGGTATATCACCTTTGAGCCTATGCGGCCATAAGCTGTTCTCAAGATTATCGCTTTGGCTCTCAAAGTCCGTCTAAACAATTCAAAGGATTTGGTAAGCACCATGACGCTCACCAACCGCAACGTCCTCTCGATCATCGAATGTATCTTCTACACTCCAACGACAGTTCTCAGTCTGCTCTTGTGCATTCGGCATTGCTGCCGAGGCCAAAGATCTCAAATTGCCTGGGTCTTCCTCTACATATATTGCCACATTCGAGTCGCGGAAGCAGCCTTGGGTCTTGCAACAATCACTTTCCCGTCAATCGCATTACATGGGACCACCATTCTGTTCTCCCTGATTGGAGTCCCCGCTCTGCTCCTCACGACCTTTGGACTCCTCAACCGCGTCTACATCAACCTAGCAAAGAACCTTCCCACTCGAATTAAACCCTGGTACTTCAGTCTACTGCAGATTCCATTCGAAGCCGCAATAGGTCTCTGTGCAAATGGAGCCAGCAAATCCACCGCAGATGCCTCTGACGGTACCATTTACCAGCCCCAGATTTGGACAAAGGTCGGCATTATGCTTTGTGTTGTTGGGTTCATAGTCATGGTCATTCTCACTGGAGCTATGCTTCGACGACAATCGCACGCCGAAATCAGCGAACGCCGACTCTTGAACAGCGTTACATTATCGCTGCCTTTCCTCTTCATTCGAATGAGCTACACCGTCCTCGTTACATTCGTGGACAGAGGTTTATTCGGAAGCTATGAGGGGAATGTCCTTGTCGTGGGTATGATGTCGGTTCTGCCGGAGATGGTTGTCGTTATCATATATATAGTTGAAGGGTTTATACTTGAGAAGCTTCCGAAGGATGCCAGGAAGGAGAAGTGTCGGAGGAAGAAGGGCGGGTGGCCATGCCAAGCCGAACGGTTGGATGATTTTTCGATCACTCGGACAGGCTCAGAGCAGGGCTGGAAAGATCTCGATGATGGGAGCTCTGGTATATCTCGTGTTTAGCGATATTTCAGCAGTGAGGTGAAATGAATTTAGGGCATATCTTATTCTAGTACCTTTAATCGCAGTTACTTTCCAGTTATCACGTTCTACCAAGCTCTAAAAACTTTTTGCACGGAGCGCAAGGATCACGCATGGGTTATCAAAAAGCTCGGGGTCCCTTGTCGCACGTTTCCAAAAGGGGAATTTTGCCAACCAGTCAGAATCGATTATGGCTTTCCGCCCCGAAGGGGCTGTGGTTCCTGATGCTTGACCGCGCCATTAAATCTGAAGTTGCCCCTCCACCTCCTTCCTCCCTCACAATTTTTATCATTGCTATCTCTGCATCTTCCATCGCGCCTTTTAGCTGATTCTTTGATGAATATTCTCCAAGCGGTGGCTTCCAAGTATCACAGTGGTGGACAGTTGCCTGCTGTTTCAGCTACCCCGCAGCAGCAAGGCTGAAATCTCGGAACTCCGAAATTCGCCTTGAACGAGCATTCTCCGCCCAAGACACAGCAAATTTATCGTTTGTAAAGATGGTTGGGGTTCCTGGAAGATCGAAAGCGTGCAAGACATGCAAGAAGCGAAAAATCGCAGTTCGTGACACAACTTCACTCCCCACCATTGATTCATCAATCCACTGACTTGCACACATCCAGTGTACCCTCGAACGGCCCAACTGCAAGATCTGCATTAAAAGTAATCGAGACTGTCTCGGCTACGAGCAAGACCGAACCTTCATCCTGGACTCGAGGACCAAGAAGCAGCTCGAGACGAAAGAAGTGACCCTAGTCACTCCCCCCAATGAACCAGACCTTCCAGTGGGTTCTACACAAGCTCTGACCCAATTTCAAGGCTCAATATCTACCAAAAACGCCTATTCATCACTATGGACCATTAATTGCCCTTCCACCCGCTCAGTCTACCGTGAACAAATCATCAGCGAGTTCCTATATAGCTTCAAACACAGCACGCAACTACCACTCACGCCTCCCACCAACACCACAAGCGACGGTTGGAAAAGCTGGTTTACAATGCTCCCTTCACACCCCGAATTTACCACTGCGCTCGAAGCGACCGTCCTCGCTATTTGCACTGCCAGACTCGGTCGCTTGAACAACGACCACGCACTCGTCAACGAAAGCCTGAAGTTCTATATCCAAGGGCTCTGGGAGCTGCAGAAAGCGTTGTATAGTCCGGATTTAATGTACAAAGATGAGACGGCTGCGAGTTGTATGGCGCTTGTGGCGTACGAGGTGATTGAGTGTCCAGATCGGACGATCACGGCGTGGGTGAAGCACGTGCATGGCTGTGTGAAGTTATTCGAACTCAGAGGCCCGAAAGCTTACAGTTCTGAATTCGGGCACGAACTCTTCCTCGCATTCCGGCAGATGGAGGTCAGTCTTCCTATTCCTTGCCTCCATGGGTGTGAAGTGTTAACAAAACCATAGATCCAACAAGCGATCTCGGAGAAGAGGAAAACTTTTCTATCAGACCCAGAATGGAATACGCACCCCTGGAAAGGCTACACCAAACCCCTGCCTCACCAACTCCTCGACCTGCAAGCCGAATTAACGTCCACCATCGCAAAAGGCCACGGTCTCCTCTCGTCCCCAGGCGCCACGGAAAATCCCCTTGCTCTCCTCCCTCAAATCTTATCTCTGGTCAACGACTGTTGGAAACTCAATATCCGGCTCAACGCCTTCTACAAGCGGCTAGAGAGGTCAATTTCCGGACCTGTATACTGGGCTCGACTTTCTAATGGATTCAACATTACCTCTACTCCAGTTCAAAATGCGGAGGCTAGTGGGGGAAGCGTGTTTCCAGTTGCATTCCAGTTTGACAATATTGAGATAGCGAGGACATGTACGACGTACTGGGCAACCCTCACGATTCTCTACTCGGGTTTGAAATACGTCTACTCCTTGCTCTCTCCAGTCGTGTCTTTCCTTCCACTCATTGCGCCGGGAAGTTCACTTCCGCCGCTAGAGCATCGGTCTGATACGACTTCTTTAGCAAAAAACATATGTCAGAGTATTGAGTATATTTCTGGAGGTAGTCCCGAGGGAGCAGCTATGTATGTGGTTTTTCCGTTAAAGGTGGCGATTGAGACGTTGGCGGATACTACTGCTTCGGGAGAGGGATGTGAGAGGGAGTTGGAGTGGGCGAAGAGTGTTATGGGACGCATTGGCACGGGAGTGAGGATTGTGAATAATCTCGATGTGCCGGTGGAGAGGCATGCTTTTGTTCCGACTCCCGACAAGGAACTGGATATGAGCGAAGGAACTGCAGGATGACCTTGAGAGGGCGTTTTCAAATTCGAGTGGAGTTCGCTGGTTTGTTTGATTTTGTAGCGTATCGTGAATCAATGACACGATTATAGTCTGTACGGAGTTGGTTCCCTTTCTTGGTAAACCATAGCAGCTTTCTGAGATCTTGCGCATTTAAAATAATCTCATATTTTAATGTATACTGCCTTTTTTCCATCTCCTTGAACTCAAGGGATACCACGGAAATGTTCCCCACTTCCCATCCCTATGTCTCACCGCGCCACGTGACCAGGGAGAAATCCCTACCATGTTGAACTAGCTAAATAAAGAAGCTAGGGTCACGTGCTTGCAATGTAAACCAAGTAAACGATACTGAATTGACTGCTGTTCTACAGTGGTAAGTAGCCCGTATATATAGCCCTGAACCCCCTAAGTCACATGTACTAAATCCCTATACCAGCTGAACCGATTACAGCTATACAGGGTATTCCAGCCGTATAGGGTATTCCAGCTATACAGGGTATTCCAGCTGGACAGGGTATTAAGCTAGTGTACAGCCCCATGGCGTTCGGTTCCAGGGCTTACTAAGCCTATTAGGGGCCTCAGGCCCCTAATTTCAACATACCACACTACTGTTTGTTGCATGACACGTACCCCCCCTTCTGAGTGCCCTCTGCATGCCGACCTCACCTGTTTACGGGCTAGCTCCTGGGCATGTTTCACCCCTATATAAGCTTCCCCGAAGCACCCAATTTATTCTCCTCAGAGAGTGCATTCTGCACTTGCGACACTACTATAATACTGTCTTTTGTCATCTTAATAAATATTTCACATAGTTGGAATGTGTCTAGTAATTTATTCCTTTAAGTCATAGCCATTTAGTTAGCGCATATCCTTTTAAGTTCTCCCTGAGCTCTCTCAATATTTATATATATTAGTACCCCTATTTTTTTCAGAACACCACATTACTTTTGCCTACTTAAACTCACTATTGTGGTTTCTAGTATCTTGCTACTCACAGCGAGTGTATCCGCTAGCGGAAAACACACTGCAGTGGTGCCTTGTCCCAGTACTAAGACTCATACTATTATCTATACTGTCTCTAGCTCTTCCACGTTCTTTGTGATTAATCTAATTCATGAGTCTTCCGCCTTGCTCAAGCTCTCCCTTGACAGTATAGTGAACCAGAAGAGGTTATTTTCTTGAAATCAAAGTAAAAGGAAATGAAAAAATCATGAAATTAAAAGCCTCTACTAGAATATGAATGCTTCAGCTTATCTTACACATTTAGCGTGTCTATTCACCATCTGAGGCATTGGCAACACGAATCCCTGTTCTAACCACAGTACAGACTAGCAGAAATGGTTCTATTAATGCCAAGAGTAAGTATCTCTCTTAGACAAAACATGGCTCACTACAAGCAAGAATTCCAATCATAGCAAGTGAACTGGAATCTAGCACATCAGACTTCCCATTGAGGACTGTGTTGTCAGAAAATAGACAGAACTTGCCACAAAAGGCTCAAATACAATTTAACCATTTACTTAATAGGGTGAAGAATTGTAAAGCACAGCTTATAGAAGCTGGTTTTCAGAGCATTGTTGAGGAGGTATTCAAGTAGTCTCAAAACAAGTGGCTAAGGGACACAAGATTAAAAGAGCTAGGAAAGTAATTTCAATGCTTTCTATGATCTAATAGTATAGGAATGATAATATGCAAAAACTTTACTAGTGGTATCTCTGGCCTCGGCATAGCACTCTTCGCTTGTGGTTTAAGACAGGCCCCAGAAGAACAGACGCATTTTTGGTCACAGTTACAAAGGACATGCAGGATACCAAGATCCATAGATATTATACCACGTAAGATCAATAAACAAGTTTTGAAAGCCAATGATACTCTAGCTCTATGGTGTATAGAGAAATGCCTGGTTAGGCTTTGCGGGGAGCAATTCAGGTCTTGAAATAATTGAAATAAGAAGTAAACGAGGGTAAGATATTGATCCAAAATTGATATTGGAATAACTATACTTGGAAAGACATCTCCCTTTATAACCAATTTGAAATTCGCCTTTTTGAAGTCTTGACAAAAACAAATGCAGAACTCTAAGGATATTTAATCCTTATCAATAGCTAGCCGTGGAGGGAATTACTATTGCACTGTGTATCATTGATTTCAGGAACTTGTCTCGAGATCTTCGCCCACACAAACACGGATGGTAGGGACATAGTATGAGAAAACACCCCAATGAACCGTGTGTAAATGAAGAAACTGCGACTTGGCAAGCCACTCACTTCATTGGTACTCAAACGTTAATAGCAAAATTCCCACCAGAACCTCCACAATTCGCATGTTCTCGGAGCATCATGGCAATTGTTATGTGTCCTCACAATAAAACTTCGTGGAAAAGGCAACGGGATTAATTATTTTCCATTTAATCAATATCCAAGAAGCAAATCCGTAGCCAAGACTCCGCCACGGAGTTCGTATATACGTATCCACCTGCAAGGCGACGGCAAGTGGATGTGTGCAACACCCTGTGGAAATTATCGCATGAATGCACATGCAACTGCTCCAACGCTAACATTGGAAGAAGTGCTCAACGCTTAACATGATTGAGAAGGAGCTATTACAAAGCTCAAAGAGTTGTTAATTGAAGACAAGCTGGATCTGGCTCTTGCGATTATTGTCAATTAATCCTTTGCATATCTTGTACTTCCTCAAGGTCTTGTGAAATCAGTCCTTCCGTACCCGGCCCCGGTTTTGAATATTACGGCCGTGGTTGTCATGCTTAATCTCTTCTAGCATGTCCCAACCACGTCTCCAATACCTGCCCCGAGCAAAGTCTCCTCTCCACTATCATATTACTAATGAAACATAGAGCGGTCAGCGCCTTCAGCCCATCTGAACACGCCACAAATTTATGCTATACAACTGATCTTAGCAATAATTCGCAGGGAGACTGTCGGTACTCATATTAGAGAGCTCTTCTGAAGATACCGAGCACGTAGCCTCCAAGAAGGTGAGGGCTTTAGCCGACCAACCTCCACCCCCTGGTAATTTTAATGCCTCGGTAACCTCTCTCATTAGCTGTGACACAATGGCTCCCAAAGATTTCAAGTCCACCGAAGTTTGCGCGCTACCTGCTGGGTCGACCGTGGGATCCGAACGTATACAATCAATTCTATAATATCCTTCAGAGGCAAAGCCTCCGCTGATTTGAGAAACCCAGATACTCTCTACCGCAGCTTTGGGGACAGAGAAAAAGGAGGAGGTGGGAATCCTGCTTCCGAGTCCGTCTCTGGTTCTGACCCAGGTTCGAGCGGTTCTTCTTGCTTCCACTGCCCATCAGCGAACTGGTTCCATTTGCTGTTCCAGATGCCTTGCTCGACCCAGCGCTTCTTGATCGTTTCGCGGCTTCTTCCTCGAAGATGCTATCTCCAGAGTTTTATCTTTATCTAAATCTTACACGTATCTGCATTCCAAATCCGACTTCTCTCTTCCTCTTTCAAGACTCGAGAAGGTCGGAGCAACGCCGAAATGATATCAAAGATATTTTCTTCCAGCCTGCGAGTACTCATGAAGCTCACGACTCACTACAATCAAATGTGTCTATTTGGTTTTTGCGCTGGGGCGGGCTCTGGTCTCGGCGAGTCGTTAATATTCCCAGCTGGTGTGGTTCCCAGTTACGCGCAGCTGCGAGTTCTGACCCTAGCTACTGCATGGTAAGCACAAACAGGGGTTGCTGTAGCACAATCAAAATTCCAACCCCAACACAGAGTTGAGGCAATACAACATCAACTCTCACACAGCTCTATATTTTGTACAGCCGGCGAACAACAGCAGATAGCATACGAAAAATTTGGCGCTAAATCAGTAATTCCAACTGGCCATACTCAGACAACTCCTGGGACAATTGCGCCCGTTTTGTGCGCCCGACTCTTCACGGGTCTCGCAACCTTGAACTTGGGCAGTGGGCGACAGGATCAGGGAACATGGAGGGCCTTATTCCGCGAGACAAGCACTCCAGGTGGAGAGATGTCGTTTTAGACTCTAAAGCGCCTACAGACAATAAAGAGCCTTGCGAAATCTTTCAAAGTGTTTTCTTTCCGATCAATGCCAAGGAGAACAACTCTACAAGATTGACTTATGACAGAAGCCTACAAAACGAATCAACTCGATCCTTTGGCGACGCGATTGATGCTAGCAGAGGAATGATGGCCATGAGTCAAAATGCCACTCCACGAAACATCTATGGCCCTCAAGGACGTGTTGAAGGGGGGCCGGGTGATTCCTATGGCTTCCCAATAACACGTTCAGCTGACTCCTTGACATCACCAACAAGCAACTATCTGTCTTATTCTGGTGGTTCTATAAACTCTTCCGTGAGCGATTATTCGAACGCCGGTTCGGATATCGAGTCAGTCTTGTCGCGAACCGTACCGTCAGGACTGCTCCATGGAGGCATTATTCCAGCGCCACATTCGATGCTGGGCAAATTTAGCACAAAAAGCTCGTCACAGCCACAGGGGAAGCATCAGTGCAAAATATGTGATAAACAATTCACACGTTCTAATGCTTTGCAAACGCATATGTATACTCATACTGGAGAGAAGCGTAAGCTTGATTCCTTATCAAATTTGTTCAATATTTATACTAATTCGGAATAGCGTTTTCGTGTGGGGTCCAAGGTTGCGGGAGGCGCTTTTCCGTTATATCGAACTTGCGCAGACATCGCAAAGTACACAAAGGCGACAATGAGGAAGCTGATGACGCCGGTATGGGCTATCAACTACCAAAAGATTTTACCTGTTACAAAGCCGGCAATTCAGTCACCCAAGAGCCCCAGATCTTGCATACATCAGGATTATCATTGTCAGGCCAGAGTTTGTCCTCCAAATCAAAGGAAATAACTTCCGCCATCTCGAAGGCGAGCATGTCGTCTTTAACTTCCACCGTTGACAAAAAGGTGGAGCCAGCAAAGATCAGGTTAACGCCCAATCCGGACCGTGTGGCTCGAACCTTGACAGATCCAATCCCCAAGCTAGACTCTTTTGAGAAAAACGAGACTAGCATGAATCCATCGAAACAGGGTTCAGTGGAGGTTGAAAGAGATGGCACACTTGTAAAGAAAGAACTTTCAATGCCAGCCGAAGGACCTGGCATAAGTGGAACAAATGGGAGCGATCAAAGCTTGTTGTTCTCTTCGCCATTACCATTTGCCATTTGCTCTAGCGGCGACTTCAATGTTGTCAACGGAGAAGCAGATCGATACCCAACAGTTGCAGAGTCTTGTTGCAGCGAGTTTGGTAATACTGAAAGTAGCAATAGTATCTACGAAGAGCTTTGCGATTTGACAGAAGAAGATGCCAATGGCCATCAAGAAGTCGTGGGATCTACTCTGGACCCGATCAGGCAAGCGTTGGTGGACCGAGTAATGGAAGAATTCTGGATAATTTTCAACCATAACTGGGACGTTGGCTTCCGAGAATGTGCTGGAGCATCTTCTACCTCCTCGAGCGTTCCGAATGGCTCTGGCAATTTGACATCTGAATCTTCCTTACCACTCGGCTCAAGGAAGAGGCAAAGAGAGGATGACGATCTGCCAAACGACAAAAATGGCAGAGATTATCGTGGTCCAGGGGGTTCTATTGCGCCAAGCAGCAGACCCGAAGAGAGCACCCGATTCGCATGCCCTTTTAGGAAGCATAATACACAAGTTTACAGTGTCTATAGTCATCCCATATGTGCCCTCTCCCACTGGGAGACGATTAGCCGAGTCAAGTATGTTATCTAGATCCTCTTCAGTTTGAACCTTTGCTAACAATGCGGAGGGAACATCTGTATCGGGGCCATCGAATGGCTGTCCATTGCAAAAGATGCTGGCGAATATTCAAGAACCAAGAACAACTGGATTCCCACCTCACAGTTGCTACTTCAAATATTTGTGACCTCCAACTTGGACATCCACCGGCAGGCATAACTCCCGAGCAGGAAAAGCGTTTACGGAGCAGAAAAAAGACATCCCCAAATCAGAGTGAAGCGGATAGATGGAAAGATATTTACAAACTGCTGTTTCCGAATGAAGAGATCCCTTCGCCTTGTAAGTTAATCGAACTGGCCATTGTTTTCCCTGCACTCTGCTATCAGAATGGTTCACAATTCAAAGTTTTGGGAGGGGGAGAAAGAAAAGAGCTAATATATGGATAGACTTTGAACCCCTCCAGGAAGAAGCAGCTATGTCACCCGACTCGCGAGACATAGCAAATTACGAGGACTATATCCGCCGTGAACTCCCTCGTCTACTCAGGTCAAATATCGAAGAGGCTGTTCGCAGGGAGATGCAACCCTTGGAAGCATCCTTGATAAGCAATCTCGTCGAAATAGTCCAAGACTGCCAGGACAGAGTGTTCAGATCGTATCGCGAGACGCGGGGCGTTAGCGGTGAGCTCCAGATGCCGCCAAGCATAGACGCCGAAGCAACAGTCTCCTCGACACCGCCAGAAAACATAGGTGGATCGAACTCGATGTCCCTGGACCGGGCTTCCCATCCACAATCTAACTTTATTGATACGATATTTGAACCACCACCCCACAGCTCTGAATCAATATCGACTACCCTCGCGGAACGTGATTCTCGAGGCAATATGCAGATACAATCAAATGATGTGTTTCTCTCGGATTCTGGATATTCCAGTGAACAGCTACAGCTTTGCGGACGCCTCGGTCCTTGCAATTGTGGCACCTGCTATGTTCGAGATCCGGAGGACAGTGGAATGCAGGAAGTAGGTAATGGCAATTTGCGGTGGGGTGATTGGACTCCTTATTTACAATACGGTACATAAACGCAGCGTGGCTGATAGTTTGAACTTGTTCACAACAAATTCCCTCTGGAGATAGTGTAATGGGAGTGCTGTTTGTGGAGAAGTCAGATGCCGTTTCTGGATGATGTCAAAAACCGTTTGTGGACAGAAATGGATTCTGGAGTGGAGACCTACTTCGATTCATCTACCAAATGCCGTTTTGACTAATACAATGCGCACAGAACTCCGACGTGACAGTCTTTTTGCCCCCTAAAATCACCAGACAGCTTTTTCTTTGTCCTACGTCTGGTGTTGAGTTGAGGGGTTTACTCAACCGGCGAACTTGGTCATTCTGTGCTTTCGCCACAATAATTACTCCGTTGTCCTCCGGGGATCGGCATGGGGGAATTTGTCTCGATGCCACCAAAGCCCGTCTCTCGAAGAAGTGTGTTCCAACCCTCAAGAGTGAGCAGTGGGCTCCAGAGTCGTCCATCTGTCTCGCCACACCACCAGCCTGGCAAACCTCCCATTATCTGACCAACTCGCATCGAGTCATTGCGGATAAGCTCCACCAAAACAAGGAAGCCTCCTGGTTTCAAAAGCTTTCGAGTGTGTTTCAGGGTTTCTTTCAAGGGAGCGGTTGCGTGCAAGACATTGGAAGCAATGACGATGTCATAGCTATTTGGACTGAAGTCTTGAGAGGCTGGGTCCTTAGTGATATCGAGAGTCTTGAATTCAATCTTATAGCTTGCGATTGGAAGCGCTCTGTAGCCCGTTCAAAAAAGCCACTAGAAATGTCGGTGTACGTATATGACGAGAATGAATGGCCGATTTTTTCTAGAATAGCCCCGGTAGCGCCACCAGTCCCTGCCCAAATCTCGAGAAAGCTCATGTGAGGGAATTTGTTGCAAAGCTGTGCAACGACTCCGGAAACCATGGCGTTGATCGACTTGAACCCACTTCCCTCAGTGTAGTACTGCTCAAGGCCGATATCTTTCCGCATGTGCTCAAGAATATTGGTCTCTCCTGTTAACACATCGGGTTTGAGAATGTTCTCTCCAACAGCCTTGGTCATCCTGAAATCTGCATCTTGGTTTCCATATCTACAGAAAAGTTAGCAAGTCACGGCTTCAGAAAGCGATTTCCTGCTATTGGCATTCCATACCTGTCCATCATATCATAGATCTCCTCTCTCGTATCATTAATCCACGATGGCGGGGCAAATATGTGCTGTCCCTCTTTCACTTGGTTATAGCGTCGTTCGGCGCTTCGAATCAGAGCTTGACGATACCATGGAAGCTTTTCACGCTCCTCAGGGCTAACGGAGAGATGGAGAATCTTGAGATAATAAAAGGCTGCACGCTCCGCGTCCGAAGATTTTTGCTTCTCTTCTGCAGTCTGCGTTACTTTGACAGCAACTGCATCGGGCTTGTCGAGGCACAGAAAGGACTCTTGAAAGAGATGTCTGTCGTCGTCCACCGTGGCGGGTGCAAATGGTGAAAGTATGATGCCTTCCATTTCGATCATCTTGTGTTCAAAGTTGGCCGAATATACATCCACATCTCCACCTAAAGTACCGGGATCATTCATTGTACAGTCTATTGCCACCTCTTCTGTCATGTTTTCCCCGCAAAGACCCGGGATTAAGGTGACACGTCGAAAGTAAGTCGGTGCGACAATAGACCAAAGTCGACCATCCCCGGGAGCGCTGAAAGCAGCTTGAAGTCCTTGCAAAGCAGAGTCGAGCATTGCTGGGTGAAAAAGAAGAGGCGTATCGCCTTCTTCAAAAGGATGACATTTTACTGTCGCTACCGAATGCCCGAATCTGCGCGATATGTTTGTCAGACCTCTGAACGGACCTTCGTAGCCAAAGCCAAATTCATCCCTCATCACCTGGTAGAATTGATCCACATCTACTTTGGTCATGTTTGTTACCGGTGGAACTCTCGCTGGGAAATGAGAACTCCAGTTATTTCCCAAGGTGATGCATACATTTCCGCAGCAGTTTAGGGCCAGATGACTCGAACTCTTGCCGGTTGTCGAGAAGACAGTGAAGTCGGCGGTGATTTTGTCCGAAGCAGTCTCAAGAAGGGACACTTTGGTAAAGGACACGAGCAGTTCTGTCCCACCGGTGTCGTGGATGGCAATCGCTCTGCGGATTTCGAGGTCGAAAATATCAATAGACTGGACTGGCTTCCCTTGAGCTATCTGCATGGCCGCTTCCATGGCAAGCCCAATATAACCAGTTCCAGGGAACACAACCTGACTTTGCAAAGTATGTCCGGAGAGCCATTTCAATTCGTTCGGATTCAAAACGTTTCGCCATCGCCACGATTCCGTCAGCCCATCTCCGGTCTGGATGCCAAGGAGATCATGAAATTTCCCTGCTTGGGTAGTAAATAGCTTACTTACCCTCGACTCTGTCCAAGAATTTATGTCGTATGTCCAGGGGTATGATGGCAGGTCATGGATAATCCTGATTTCGGCATGCGGCTGGCATTTCTGTTGGAATGCACCCAAGTTAATACCGGCAGAACCAAAATGGGTCCATACAAATCCAAGGGCTTCAGAAAATGCCTTCATATCGTCATCACCCCGCTTCAGAGTACCCGAGTATGGGATATCTCGTCCAACGACCTCGATTATTGACTCTTTGGCTGGTCCTTGGAGAGCAGGATGGGGGCCAACTTCCACTGCACAATTGATGGTCTCTTCCACCGAAGTCAAACATGTCTTGATGGCAGGGTATAAAAGTACAGGTTGCACCATATTGTCAACCCAATACTGCCCGCCTAGGCTTTCTGTTTCGGGCTCGATTTTGGCGTTATAAACGCTGGAGAACCATTGCGGTGCGTCTTTCCCAGGTCGCAGGATCTAGATGCAACACTCGGCAAGCGCCTTCTAATACGCTGACGAGCATCGCAACATATGGGCTGAGTGATACGCAGTGTCCACTTTCAGGACTCTTGCAAATTTCTGCTCCTCCTCAAACACCCCTTGCGCCTCAGTTATCGCATCAGATCACCCGAAAGTGTTACGCTACTTGGGGAGTTGTGGGCAGCAACACAGAGTCTTTCGACCATGTCGTCAACCTGACAAAACTCGGAGGCGTCCTCGAAATCTGTTCCGAGGGCCAACATACCTCCTTTCTCGCTTGTTGGACCAGCAGCAAGTTTGGCGAAATAGCCCCTATAATACGCGATGCGTATAGCGTCTGAAGCACCCAGGAAGCCAGCTGCATAGGCGGCCGCTATGTCGCCCGAAGAGTGGCCAACAACGGCTCGGAACTTCACGCCCGCAGCCCGAAGAAGGTCAACGAGGATAATCTGAACAGCCGTACAGAGGTTGTGATAATGCCGCCTCGCCGACACGTGACGTCGTCTTTTGTCGGCGGAAAGCTCGTCCATGAGAGTCCAACTTGGGCGGTGGCAGGCCGGCAGGCTTGCGAGAGATTGGTCGAGGCTACGCATGATGGCACGCGCCATTGAACTCGAAGCAACCAGTTTTGCTCCCATTGTTGGCCATTGAGCACCTTGACCAGTGAAAATGCCTAGTATTGACGGCGCTGCCGACAGGGCTACTACTGAATGGGTAGATGTCACTTCGGCGGCTGTGGTGTCGAGTCTATCCTTGATTTCGTCCCGAAGTTGCTCGACTGAAGCGGCATACATTGCAATTCTACGAGATAGCGCACTGCGTTTCGTGCTCAGGGTGTATGCAAGACTGGACATGTCGACCCCAGCATTGTTGTCCAGAAAGTCTGAAGTGGACTTCAGTAGCGCAATCAGCGACTTTAATGAGGCGGCTGAGAATACAAAGGGATTCAACAACGGGTCGGGTTGATTAAATCCATTGGTTATAGGCTTTGCAAGCGATGATGTCGGCGTATAGCTTTCCAGGATACAGTGCGCATTCGCGCCTCCGAATCCAAAACTATTCACACTACGTCCCGAGTCAGTAGTTGTAATGCTGACGTCGAAATAAACTTTGAATGGGCAAGTACTGCTACTCACCTGGCTCTTCGTGGCGCGCCTTCAGGCAGCTCGGGCCAAGGCTCACATACTGTAGGGATCCGAAGATGGCTTGTAAATGGCTCGAGCTTGGGATTCAAGCGGTTGAAAAGAAGATTAGGAAGATTTGTTGAGTGTTGAATAGATAAGCAAGCCTTTAAAATGCCTGCGAGTCCAGCACAGCCCTCAGTATGCCCGACAATGGTCTTGATAGAGCCAACAAGTAACTCATTATCAATCGCGTCAGTCGCGTCAGACTCTGGGAAGAAGGCTCTATTGATCCCCTATTTTCGTGTTCAACGGTCAGTGATATTTCTTTGAGGGCGTTCAGAAAATCTTTTGGAGTTTCTTGCTCATGGAAATGACGCTATAATCATTTTGGAACGGCAATTTCAGGCATGCAATTTGCGTATAAAGGTATCAAAGAACGCCAAATACTAACCTCAGCCTCCTGTGGATCGCCTGCTGGAGTCCCAGTGCCGTGGGCCTCGAAGAACTGGCAACGGCCGGATTTCGTGGTCGGATCTAGCCCGGCCCTGGCGTATGTGCTTCGTATAAGGGCAGCCTGTGCTGAGGCGCTGGGCATGGTTATGCCCTTCGTTCTTCCGTCGTGATTCAAGCCAATTTCTCGGATAATGCATGCAATGTTATCCCCATCCTCGATAGCTGCGCTGAGCGTTTTCAAAACAACGCTAGCGACACCCTCGCCGCTTGCGTAGCCGTCTGCATTTGCATCCCACATTTGGCATCGGCCTGTCGGCGACAACATGTTGAGCTTGCTTAGCGCAACATACATAAAGGGGGACAACATCAAATTTGTTCCACAAGCTACAGCAACCCGACTGCTGCCGTTTCGAAGAGACTGGATCGCTTCATGTACGGCGACCATGCTTGAGGAGCAAGCTGTATCAATAGTCATAGATGGGCCGTGCCAGTCGAAAAAGTAAGAAATGCGACTAGATGCATTGCTAGGAGCGGAGCCAGTTGCGCCATAGGTCGGAGTATAGTTATTATCCTGCGCCTGAATTGTGAAGAAATCTTGGCACATCAGGCCCACATAGACTGCAGTGTCCGAACCTGAGAGATTCTGAATGGTGATTCCGGCCGACTCGACTGCTTCATAAACGACCTCTAACAGAAGGCGCTGCTGGGGGTCAATAGCCTCAGCTTCCCCAGGAGAAATACCGAAGAACTTCGCATCGAAATTGTGGATGTCGTCAGACAGCAAATATCCTCGTCGTGTATTGGTGGTACCATGGTGATTGCCGTCTTTGTGATAAAATCGATCAAGGTTAAATCCCCCTGTTCCAATTTCCTGAGAAACATCTCTTGGATTGTGCAGCAGGTCCCAGAGTTTGGAAGTTGACGTTGAGCCGCCTGGGAAGCGACACCCGCTCCCAACAATGGCAATGGGCTCGTTTCGGGTTGGAGACATAGTATGAGATTGCAGAATATTCAATTTCATGTCAGTTAGGCATAGCCCTGGGAGAAGATAACATGCATGTATGGCAGTTGAGACTTGTAACAATTTTGGACCGACATTTCTCCCGCTTCATTGACCGGTGGAGCGGGGCACGGTATCATGCCGCCGCCGGAGGCGTTGCAAACTGACTGGACTCTTGATCTTACGTCAAGCAACATGGTAAGCTTAAATTGCCGGTCTTCGTTTGACCAATATCCTTCAATGCCGGCTTATGCCAAGTGTTCAAACGGCATGATGATTGTCTCGCGCCGGTTACGCTCACATAGGTTACATTCAAAGTATCGTGACTAGGTAAATCTGGCAGCACCTAGACTGTCTGGTTACATTCACTTAAATGACTTGTCAAAACGTAGTTTGTATAGAGGGTTCTGTTCTTTTTATGTCATATGCGCACACAATGTATATAAACCGCGATTGATGACAAATAATATTTCATAAACATTCCATTGAGTTAGAAATGTAGATTTAAAACAACACGATAGAAACTAACTGAGACTATATATAAGTTTACGTCCCGAAATCTGCTTCTTTCTGAGAAACTCAAGTCCTTCCAAGGCACCATCCAGCCCACCACTCCCAAGTTGGATTGGATGCGTTTTCAATTTGCCCTCGTCTAAAAGCCATTGCACGGTTTGAAACCACTCGATCCCAAAGTTCCGATTCTCTTCATTTGCTTCTCTAGCAAATGGCGCTGGCCAGCCTATTTCCTTGCCCCACTAGATAACGGGCGAGTTAGCAATTACTTCTTTGAGATCTTTCTAAAAGTAGGCAAACATTATCTCGGGAGAGAAATCGTGAGATCATTCGGAATAGGAAAGACCTTTCCCCCATTAACTTACGACAGTAGGACCAAGTACCCAGTCTGGTACAACAGTACGAGGCCGATCATGAAGGAACTCTGGGTATGGTTCCAAGGCGGTATATTTTCCACCTGTTCTTCCAAGACATTGGTAGCAGAATCGCATTGTCTCAGGTTCTGAAATGCAGTCCAGAGTAAACTTGAGCGACCTTCTGGTATGCTTTCGAATGTCTTCGGCACAATTTGGAAGCTTGTAGTCAAACACCGCTGTTGCCCCAAGTGATTTGACAGTTCGAAATTGTGTGGCGAACAGGTTGTAATTGGATTTAGCCCAGACCTCGAAAATGGTTACTTAAAAGTCTTGACAAATTCATAGAGTCCAGGTGATTGCAAACTCACAGTTTTAGTAGTTGTATAGCTAAAGCCCCCGTGGATGAGCTGCCACCGTAGACGAGTACATCTACTGGCTTTTTCGCCGGGTTCTTTGGTGTACCCGGGACTTGCAATGATTTGAACAGAGCTAGTCCAATTGTCGAAATACTACTACCCAGGGTCGCTGCCTGTTCGTATGAAATATACTCCGGTATTTTCATCGCTGCAATATCTGCTGCTCCTACGAAGTCGGCGAAGGCCCCCACTCTCGGTCTCAACGGATCCATTCCCAACACTGCACCACATATGCGGTCCCCAATGTTGATGTGTGTAGCTGTCTGGCACTTTGAACCAGTTGCCACCACCTCACCCGCAAAATCCATTCCTGCCACTGCACCCGGAATCCCTAACTTGCCGACGAATTTTGTGTCGCTCGGATTCAAAGCAACGGCTTTATTCTTGATTAGGATCATGTCTTCTTCTAGTCTCGGAAGATCGACGTCGTGGGATATACCCAAGCTGCCATCTTCAAGTCCAATAATTGCTTTCTGTTTCAACGGTAACTTATGAACCGTCATATTGTCTAATTTGATTGCTCGTGCAAAGGGAAGCAAGGCAAGATACAGACAAGAGGCGTCAATTTACAATGGCTCCGAAGACGGAATGAATTGGCGAGATCGTCTCGAAAGAGAGTTCATATTCACCAGGCGATGTTGAGTTAAAAGTCCGCTATGAATGAAGAAGATTTCCAGATGAAATCGCGCTTGGCATTACGGGGTGATCGGCCGGCATAGGTCCATTCCATTGAATAGTACAGGGGCCGTCTTCTTGCTCCACAGGGTTCAAAAGTTGCCGGTCCCCAACCGGCGACCGATCTACCCACGAAAGACCCGTCCAGGACCGGCTCCGACTCTCCAATGACCAGGGACCGGCAAGTAGTCCCGTCAAGAAATAAAACTCATATTTACTTCTCAGGCCACACATCTCACCAAGAGCTAGCAGTCGGGTCGCGTCAAGAAACAAGAATTATATCTACTTCTTTGGCCACATATCAGAAATTTCAACCGAAACTAGCCATGGTCCGTTTTCTGGAAGCTTGGTTACTGACTTGGTCGTGCACATTGAGCACGGCTTTCTTCCAAGCTGTGACTGGATATCAGGTCGTGGGCTTCATCATCCCTCTGCTAGTCCTTGAACTCGTCTCATTGCCTCTATGGGGACTTTACTGGACTGTCCTCTATCCTAGCTATTTCACTCCATTCCGTAACCTCCCGACACCACCTGTATATAGAATTCCTGCTGATATGCGGAGATGAATCTGAATCGAGAATAGAAAAGAACATTTTTGACCGGAAACCGAACTGTGGTCTTGCCGGATTACCCTTATGAAGATATACGGAGCATCTCCGCAACCCTACCAAACAAGGGACTAGTTCGATTCTATGAACCATTCTGCAGAGAAGTCCTCATGGTCACGAAGCCAAACACCTTAAAGGAGATGTTGACCTTGAAAGCTTATGATTTTGGTCATCCAAGATTGATCAAGCTCTTGATGAAAAGGCTCACAGGGAACGAGTTCAATTTCTTGACGCCTGTTGGACACAAGGTTTGAGCTTCTCATTTCGATACGTTGTGAGAATCAGGACTGATTTGGCTCAAAGCTCTTTCGAAAGAATCTTAGACCTGCGTTCACAAACACACACGTCAAGACTTTGCGCCAATATTCCGGAGCAAGGCAGCGGAGATGGTTCAGCTCATCGAGGCTGAGCTGAAAGTCGATCATGATTCCGTGATAGACCTCGGTGACTATGGTAACCGGGCTTTACTAGACGTCCTTGGACTTGCTATGATGGGCTACGATTTTTAAACCCTACAGCATCCCAACAACGAATTCCGAAACCAGTTCAGAAAGATTGCATTGGAACCCAACAGAACCTTCAAATGGATGCAACTGATTAGCCACTACTTTGACCTGCGCCCACTGCTGCTGACCTTCTCTCTTATACCCGGGAAGAAGATGCAGGTGAAAGAATCATCAGAATTCCTCCGCAACTTTGCCAGAAAAGTGATCAAACAAAGGCGGGAAAAGCTTCAGCGCGCCGAATCTCCAGATATCAAGGATATCACAACTGTTGCTCTGGAAAACGATGCATTTCCACCGGATGAACTTGCTGATCATGCCGTACTTTTCCTCACGGTTGGCCACAAGTCTACATCCGCAGCCTTCGAATGGACCATGTTTGAGCTTGGCAAACGACCAGAAATGCAACGGCGACTGAGAACAGACATCAATAAATCTCTAGGTTCTGCTTCATTGGGGACAGTCGAACTTGGCTCTCGGGTTCTGGAGACACCATATCTGATTGCCATCTGTAGCGGGGTTATTCGATGCTACCCATTCACCCCCTTAGCCACGAAAATCGCAGAGATCGATACATCACTTCTTGGCGAACACATACCAAAGGGGACTGTGGTTTTGTTCTCGGCTGAAGCATTAAATCATGGCCAGGAACTTTGGGGTCCTGATGCTCATCTTTTCAATCCGGACCGGTGGATGGCAGCCGGAATGGCCAACTCTGGCCGGGCCTCTAGTAACTACGCAATGCTATCTTTTTCGGCCGGACCTTGGGGTTGCATTGGGGAGCACATTGCTAGAGCGGAGCTTGCACACCTGGTAGCCGCGGTCGTGCAAAGGTTTGAGATCGATTTGGTCCACCCAGAAACAGTCGGTCGAAGCAAACCCGGGCCATTCATGAGATCCGTTGATGGGATTCATGTCAGACTCAAGTTAGTAAGGAGTTCATGAGTAGTATAGACAATTTGCATAAAGAAATAAAATCTTGAGCGAGTCCTTACGAATTGCGAACGCTCGAGTTCAGATCAATCTCTCAATGCCCCTTCGCCTTTTCCAGCCAAAAGTTCTTCCGGAAATCTCGTCACCTCCCAGTCTTTCCTATCTTCTTCGACTTTATTACAATCTCAGGGGTTGGTCAGCTCTATTTCTAGATATAACAACTAGGTGGAATCAATTTTCAGCCTCCCACTTGAACCTAAGATTCTTAGCGCCCAGGTATCCGATGTCGCTCTCCCAAGCTTATATGGAATTCTAGGAAGGCATGAAAGTCTTAATCATTCTTTAGGTCAAACCCTAGGCTAAATACGTATATAAGGATGCTCTTTCCCCGATAGTATGGCTAATTCTTGCTAATGGACAGTTTGGCAAATTATGGAATTGAAAAAGAAGTGCAAAGATGCGTCTGAAAACGGAAGTATTAGTACAGAAGAGCAAACCTTGGCTCAGAGGTCAAGTAACGGAAATTACAAGGCAGAATAGTGGTGGTGCTACTAATGAAATATGTAAAAGGTCCTTTTGCTATTGCGTGAAAATGGATGTTGTCACGTTTTCCTCCCACCCAGTGAATGTAACGCCGTCGGCCTCCTGGTGACTGATATCCTGCATAACTCGAATACCAGCAACGCCAAATTACTAAGGAGTGGAAGAATTACTCTGCAAAGAGAGTATGTTATAATTGCTAACACATAGATAATAGAGAGGTTATCTCTAATATTATATAATAAATTTAGAAATAAAAATGGGCTCTTTTTGAAAAATAAAATTAAGTTTATAATTAATTTAATATAAGATATCTTAATATAAAGCTAATATTTGTATCTAAAATGTGTTTTAAGAAGAGTTATAAAATAATTAATTAAATTAAATTAAATAAAACTATAAAGCTTATAAGTATTATAAAATATAAAATATAGTTATAAAAAATTAAATGTATATAATATAATATAATTTATAAATAAAAATTAATTTTAATATATTATTTAATAATAAAGCTATTAAAAATAAAACTTACATAAAAGCCTAATACTAAAAAAAATTAGGTTTATTCTTTATTTTCATTAAACTTAAGTAATTTATTAATAAAATATTTAAATAAGATCTACGACCTTTAAATAATTCATAAAATATATTAAAGATTATAATATAAAATAAAATATATTTAGTAAAAGCAACGTAAAAATTTTTAAATACTAATTATATGCCTTATATATAAAACGAAAATTCAAATTCTTTAATAATAAGAATATTAATAATCTTATATTTTTAAGTATTTAAGTTATTTATTATAAATATTATTTATTATAAATATTATTTATTATAAATATTATTTATTAAAATTTATAATTATATCTTAAAAAAGTTCAAATAGTAATTATATATAAAGTTTAATAAATTAATAATATAAAATAAAATTAATTATTATTTATATATTAATAATAAATATATATAAGTAAATAATTAAATAATAAGAATATATTAAGAAATTATAGTTTATTATTATATTTAAAATATTAAAAAAAGAATAGTTATTTTTAACTAAATTGCTTTTTTTTAAAAGAAATTTATATATAATTTAATAATACTAGGCTCTTAATACAGCCTTTTATTTCTATATATACTCTGTTTTTAGTAGCAGTTTTATTTAGCCTAGGCTCTCTTAATTAGCCACGCTATACTTGAGATTAATATATTATACGAAATTCAAGAAACAGAAATATTATTTATTTTAAATATCAAACTTGCGAGAACGGATATTATACAAGATATCCCATCTCGGAAGCTGCTCCCTCTTATTCTCTCAAAGCTTCAAGTACACACCGCTCCTAAAACAATGGCATGACCAAAGTAAGTGAGGTGAGCAAGATTAATCCCCGACGTGTTGTATTGCCCATTACATTCTGTTGTCTCTGCACCACAGGTAAAGGTAGTACTTGTGCTTGTTGGGTCAACATTCCAATACTCAAGGCCATGGTGGATGTAGCCATCGCTCAAGGGTGGGTCGTGTGGGACGCCGTCATCCGCATGAGTGCAGCGGTAGAATCTCGTTGCCGCCGGGCTTGAGGTTTGGTAGGTATCGTCGATGAAGGTGGCGAATGCTGCGTTGCCGGTGCGAGGCTCGCCCATCGTGTATACAGTAAGGTCATCAAAAACGGAGGAAAATTGTGCGGCGGCAAGCGCAGCGAGAGAGCCACCCAGGCTGAATAAAGTTGTTAGTATGCGGATACAACAATCAGTAGTTGAGAGAAGGGAGATTTACCTGTGACCAGTAATAACAATCCCATAGTCAGGATACAGGGAAGCTTGGTCTTGGATGAGGCGTTGAACGTCCTCGTAAATAGAAGCCCACAGCAAATAATAGCCGCCATGAACCTGACAGCCCGTGCAGCTGGGAAATGTGTCGAAGTCCGCCAGTGTATAATTTGTGTCCGACTCGTAGTTTTGAACGCTTTCTGTGCCGCGGAAGACGACGACGATCTCTTGCGCACTGTCGTCCCGGAGGATCCAACCATGGACATCAGTTGCGGTGTTGGTGATATCGGCAACCTTGGGTAGCCCATCTGGGAAGAGACAAAGGTCTCCAACATAGGTGGACATGCAAATGGTAGCCATTTGGATGAAGCGGTTGACCAGCGTAGTCGAGACACCTTGAGTTTGAGCAAGGGTTGGCGAGGCTACTGCCAGGGCGAGAGTTGCGATTAAAACAAACGACTTCATTACAATGGTTTGGAAGATAACGTGTTGACTAAAGGAAGTGTGCTGAAAGATCGAAAGTTATAAAAGCGTCTCGAGGAGTCGCTTTATAAAGAAAGATTCAATCAACCTTTTGGTTACTCACATGCATTCTTAAGGCTGTGTGACTGTTGGTTAAGTGTCACAGCAGACAATGTATTTTGGGTACCGAGGCAGTGGGGTTCCAGGCTGGCACAGACCAGAAAGCAAACAAAATAACCCCTGTACTCCCTCCCCGCCTCACTTCTCCTATCTTCCTAGTAAAAAAGACTGCAACTAGGCTGTGTGTTTTCCATCGGCAGTTAATTCTTGAATTTTTAGTGGACGACAATAACAGACGGGGAGTCCCGTGGATACTATATTTGCTTCAATATGCAGAGGAATTCTCGGCTGCATAGCCTTGCCTTATTTCATGGGGTCGATGCGAAAGGATCGTAATCAATCTCTTTTTCTCCACTTTCCCCATATTTCACTACCCCGAACCAGCGAATTTAGGAAATGACCCCCCCCCCCCCCCCGAATCAATTGCAAGACCGATGCTAACTAATCTAGGCGGTTAATACCAAAAATCTCTTCCCTCGCACCCTCTGCTTTAAATTTCAGAAAAAATCATATACTAAACTCTTAATAATTTATATATTCTTAGAATCCTATAATTCAATTTTTTTTAATAACAAAATTCCTTTTAAGAGAAAGCATAATTATATTAAGAGTTATATATATAAATATAAAGGTTTTTAGAAATTACCAAAGCCACTAGTTACTAAGTTTCTAGTAATTCTTTTCTTAAAACTTAAACTTTTCTTAGTACTTTACTCTTTAAACTTAACTTGTTTATATAACTTAGAGAGAAATACTGAAGAATATTATTAAAGAGAGCAATTCCTAAAATATTAAAAAGTGTATTATTATTTAAGTAATAAAAATTAAAAAGATTTAATATAAAGGGTTCTCTTATATTTAATTAGTATTAACTCTATGCTTCCCCAGTTACACCAATATCCAATCAAAAAAGCTTCGGAGGAGAATTATTATATTTTGGATTTTGGGTTATAATGGCAAACAATTGCTTCTAAAATACATATTTATTGAGTATAGGCAACGATAGGGTTCCAGTTCCGGCCCGGCACACATGCGCCGTGGATTAGAACGATTGTGATTTCCCCAGATGGGCTGTGTGAGGCGCAGTGGAGCAAAACTTCATCAAGTTCATCGTCTGGAACTGGCGTTGGAGGCGGAGGGTTCGACATGATGTGAAGAAGCAAAGAGGCATCACGTATCTGCACGTGCTGGAATGAGGTGTGCTTCAGGCGTTGGCCCCTGGAATTTTAGCGAGTTCTTCGGCGGGATTGAGCGTCTTATCACTCGATACACAGGAGCTCCATCGGTCGTTCATGCAACCAAAGCGTAGAATTGGATGGTAATCAACCTTTGGAGCCCAGACTGATATGTGCTGGCGGCTACGAACTAGCCAATAGGGGATAGTAGTCCGTTTCCTCCTGTTTTGATGTCAAAAAGTTCAAGACCCAGCTCCGTTTAACCTCAATTTTTACCAGATTCTGATTGGTAGGAGACGCGTAAGCAGGAGGACAGCAAAAGAAACGTACAGCCGAATCTTTTACTGTTCAAATTCCTCCCACTCCACAACCTCTCTAGCTCTATCAGATATCATTCCGACATGGAAGGGGCATCCCGTCACCAATATTTGCCAATATCGTGATCGAGCCTCCTATTCCAGAAGGCTCAGCGCATAGTTTCAAAGGAGGGTACGAGATGACGTTCGGGGGTGGGCCTCGCCCACCTTCCTGCGGGTTGGATTGTCTATGCTTTCTGTCCCTAGCTTTATATTGACTTATGCCAGTGCGAGAATCGGCGGTCAATATTCTATATTGTTGAAAGCCTAAGCACTTACGGCCTAATTGAGTTGTCCAGATTGCTTTTATCAGCTACACCATGGTACTTCCAATAGTTATTACACATATCATATATATTTAGCTAGATCCTAAGCACGGCAATCAGTGTAGGCAAAAAATACTCAAGCTACTCAAGCTACTCTAGAGTAGTCTTGAGTAGAGTAGAGTAGAGTTTGAGTAGCGTTGTTCACGCCCGTTCGTCAATACGAGCGGTTTACCAATCGGGCGCTACGATTGGTCAATCGGCCTTCCGATTAATCAATCGTAGCTCCCATTAATCAATAGGAAATGGAATACGATTCGCAAGCCACAGTGGGTCCCGATTAATTAATAAGGGGGCCGATTAATCAATCGAATGGCCGATTGATCAATCGGGTAATATTGAGGTCTCGGGAATAGCAAAAGCTTTACTATACATGCCTCCTACTACGTCTAGGCGCTCCTATAGCTACCCTAGCCCTTTTTGGTGCCCTCCCCTCCACTTGATCACCTGATTCTCCTCCTTCTCTAGCTCCATTCTCACGTGCTTACTCCTCAGCTACTCTCTTCTTTGCTCTCTCAGATGCTCTTCCAGCCTTCTGAACTAATGCAATTGAACCACGATTATTCTCCTTTGCTACCGCTTTAGGGAGGGTGATTTTATCCCTCTTATGGGTTGCACCAGTAGTAGGTAAATCAGGATAAGTCGATTGGGAGGTAATTTTATTAAGGGTACTATGCGGCCAGAGAGTAGTAAGCTCGCCATACTTAGTAGCTAAGCGGTAGCCCTATTTTAATTAGCTTTTATTAAAAGTAAGGCTTATAAACCACATACCTTTGGAGTCTTTTCCAGAACTCTTACTGGAATTCTAGCCATTTCCGTACCGAATCTGTATTGCTTTGGGATCTGGAGAATTGCAATCTCTTGAATATCATATTCAAGAGCTTTGGAATTCGCTCTCTTTACCATATTCTCCTTCTGTTTTCTCATATGCTCCGCAACCCTCCTAGTTAGCTCAGATAAAATCATCTCCTCAGCTACTTCCTCCTGTTCTGCTTCCTCATCCACGAAAAAGCTATCCTCTCTATCCTCTCCATTCTCTCTATCCTCTCCATTCTCTCTATTCTCTCTATTCTCTCCATTCTCTCCATTCTCTCCATCCTCTCCATCCTCTCTATCCTCTCCAGAAGCGCTACTCTCAGTAATACCTTCCATAGACCCTATGGCCCCTAGGGCCGTACGTATGCGGCGAGCACTCTCCTTATGGTCTAGGAAATCAGTAGGTGGCTTTCGTCCAAACCAGACCTCGTATAGTGTATTTCCCTTAGGAAGAGCTAATATAGCTATAGTATTAATTACCCATGCGATTAAAGGAAGTAACTATATTCACGATTAGATACTAGTATCCGCTCGTACGGCCCGTAGTCGTTTTTTGAAGATTCGATTAACTACTTTAATAGAGCCCTGAGATTGAGGGTAATAAGCTCGTCCGCGAAAAATCTTTATCCCTCTCTTCTTGCAAATCTTAATCACTTTCCCCTTAAACTCACCCCCATTATTACAGGCTAAAATGGAAATATACCCATTATTATTTAGCCATTTGATAAGCTCGTCCGCAGCTTCGTCCGCAGTCTTAGTCTTAAGCCTACGGATTCATACGAACTTGGAAAAGTGGCATTTCAATTGCCAGATCCACGTATATTCTCTGTCCCGATCATGCTATAATAGTATTAATGAAGTGTGGATAAAAAGGTTCGGAATTTACGAAAATCGCAGGAATTGCGAAAATCGCAGGAAAAGCTTAAAAACGCACGAAATGCAGGAAATGCAGGAATATAGGGGTAAATCACATGACTTAAGGAACACTTATACGAAAATCCATTAAATCCAGAACCATACGCTCGCCAGGATAATGAGATTGGATAGGTAGAATCCCCTTAGGATTCTTCTGAGCCTTTTCCTTATTACAGTGAGTATAGCGGGCACTTATCCAAGCGTGGTCGTTACGGGATGGGCCATACCAAATACGTCTTGCATACTCAAATATAGTATTAAAGGCTATTATATAGATTATTAGTATAAAAATTAGTAAATTCAAGGGGTACTTACCTATATATATTAATTTCTCATAAATAGTAGTCAAAATCTCAAAGGTATTATTATAGCAAAGGGTATACCGGGCTGGAATAATCTCATTGCAGCGGGTATCGTCAGTATGTCAAAGGATTAATCACGTTAATCAAATTAATTAATTAATGTAATTAGATTATAATTAACGTAATTCAGATTTTTTTTAATTAGATTAGATTAATTAATCTTGATTAATCTGATTAATACTTGATTAATCACGTGGCACCGGAATTTCTTGACTTTTCTTAGTTTTCTCTTTACTTTTACTTATTAATTATTAAATAACCTTATAACTAACTAATAATATTATAATAAAAAAATCTAAATTAAGCCAAGAACTAACTAATTACTTCTTTTCTATAATAATAAACTGATTATCTATAAGGGGCGCACGTGATGGCGCATGAACAAGTATCAGATATCGTGGATCTAGTTTCCTATTTTGGGTAAAGCTTGTATGGGATCGCATTTCCTAATTAAGTAAAGGTCTTCGCACGCTTGGCTAAACACTAGGGAATATATAAGGAGACGCTTCTAGCTTTGGAAAGGGGCATTAATTAGTCTTTTGTTAGAATCAACTCTTGGAAATCAGTTACACTTGCAAGCGTCACTCTAAAGCTTACTTACCTTGACTACTTGTGCTTCACCCTGCTATTATATGCCTCACAGCTTGGTAAGCTGCGGCCCAGGCCGCCGCTAGGTGGCCGTAGCCCTAATACGGTAAAGCGTGCTCCCTATACGGCTAGCGCTATCACGTGTCTAGTCACGTGCTCTATTAATTAAATTAATTAATTAATAATCGATTAATGGTAAATTTCCTTGATTAGATTAGATTAATGCCTATTAATCTAATCTAATCTAATCATTTGATATACTGGGTATTATAGTATTTCTTATAATATATCTAATTATCCTAAAGCTCGTATAATTGGGATTCGTACTTAATATTAGCCTAGTAGCGCTTCTCTGCTTTTGTTCCACTAGGGAGTAAAGCATCAGGATTTTGCAACCACTATCTAATATCCATACGCT